AAGACATAAAGAGCTTTCTGAAGCTCTCCAAAGCCATGGAGATATTCTCTTTCAGTTGTTCTGGTAGGGCCATCCACACTCATATTCCCTTTCTATTGCACAGTACTACATTATGTTTTCTTCCTTTTGGCATCACGAGATCACATCTTCATGTAAATTTCCTCTATTTCAGTTATTTCTGGGGGTCACTGGGACATAAGGTTGATCTGAAATGGAGTTGAGAGTGGTTAATTGTACTTTTCAGCTCCTAGTCAGGAAGGAGAACTCTTGGCCATTTGTTCCTCCCAACCACCCTGGAGGTCCTTGCAGTGATCACCTCCAGGAAGGCTGCAGAATTCCACCTCCTAACACCTCCACCTGGATGAGCTGGCTCCAAATTAAACTCTTTGTTTAAATAAGAAGCTTAGCAAAGTCATTTTATCCTCCATGCATGTGGGAGAAGAAGAAAGTGCCAATGATTTTTTTCCCTCTCACAAGAAAACAGATCTCACCTTAAATATTACTACCAGGGCAATACGTTATTAGGTAAGACCACTGTTATTCTTCTAGTAAAAGAATTACAACATTTTAGAAATTAAAAGTTGTTTTTCAGACATGGTAATCTCTGGAGTCTAATAATTTTAGATTCCTTTGTTAGAAGTAACAGGTTTTACGATATAGAATACTATTTTGTTGTTGTCGAAGCTTTTGGGAAAATGGAACATTTTCCTTCTCCTCTAACTTAAATTTTTTTACTACAAGAAAGTCCTATACTTTGTTAGAAAAGCCTTTTTTTCAAAGCAAATAATTCCATTAGCTATCCCTGATTAAAGAAATGACTGGTTGACAATACAAATGGAGTGATGCAATAGCACAGTAACTTGGAATGCTGGGTATACAGTGTTGACATGGCTTTACAGCTTTTAATTTTGTCATGCTTTGATTAAAAGAAAAACTACTAACACCACTATTTTATAAAAGAAAAGACATATTAACATTAAAAAGCATGAAGTGCATAATCTCAAAATAAGGACAGTCCTTTTCCATTAAAGATATTTAGCAGTCCCACTGGGCATCTGTCCTTATTTTGCTCATTTTGGTGTAGATCAGTAAAAATTTTGTCATGGACTGGTATAAGTCTGTTGACTGGAATTTGGAAATCACTATTTTAGAATTTTCAGAGACTTAAAAAACCCTTTCAAATTTAGAGACTTTTATAAACGTTAATACCAGCTGGTTTATCTCTGTTGGTACTCTAAACTGTTTCTCTCCTCTTACCGTCCTTCCATCCCCATGCCTCCTGCCATACATAGTCCAGGTTCTCATCAGCTCACCAGCTCTTGCTTCATTTTTTGCAGTAGCCTCCTAACCATATTATCCTCTTCATCATCACCATAGTGATCTTCTAAAGCAAGGATCCTGTTATTCTCCTTCTTAAAAACTTTACTTTTCATCACTATGAAAAGTAATTAGTTTTCATTATTACTAACTAGTCCAAGTTACTACACAAAGTACTTCACAGTCTGGCCTCATCATACCTTTCCAGCCACTTCCTATGAATTCTACACTTTCTTTAATGGCTTACATTACAGAGTTTATTATTTCTTTAAAAATAATAAAAACTTTAAAAGAGGTGTGGAGGAAGGGTATCTAAAGATAGTACAGTGGTGGCATGGTGTTTTCAGAGTCCTAGACTCCTTTCATCTTTTTGTGACACTATGCAAGCTGAGGATGTTTTTCCTGAAGTTTTTTTATGGTCCAAGATGGCTGATAGAGTTCCAAACACAACATTCACTTTCTGGGTAGCAAAAAGGACAGGCAGAAAGGCAAAAGGGCACCCCTTAAAGCCAAGTCAGTTCTCTTTAAACAGCCTTCCCAGAATCCCATTTACCAATTCTGCTGATATGTACTGGCTACATCTGGCTGCAAGGTAGTGGGAAATGTAGTCTTTGAGGTGGATGCATTGCTCTCCTGAATTAAACTGACATGATTTACTAGGAAAGGAGAGAATGGATATTGGGGGGCACCTACCATTCTCTGCAACATATAAACATAATTTTATGATATTACATATTTTATCATCTTTTTATACTTACCATTTTATTGTGTGCATCTTACATTTTCTCCCACAACATCAATTTAATGAGCTCATAGTATTTCATTACATTAATATACCATTAATTAATCCAATCCCCAATCCTGTATTTTGAAACAGTTGGGCTAGTTTTAATTTTTGGCAATTATAAATAATTCTGTGATGATAATTTTTATAGCCAAATCTTGTAGGGCATATCCTTGAAGAAAATACCTACAAATGAAACCACCGAATTATGGGTATATTTATTTTAAGGCTTCAAATATACATTTCCAAAATGTCTTCCAGTAAGATTTTCCCACTAGTCTTGCTGAAAAGTGCCAAAGATTTATTCTTTATTCCCCATTAAATAAAATACTTAAGGTACAAAAAAAGTATAAAGAATAACACAAAGTATACATTGGTTATATTTGATATTTAGTTAAACTAAGAGCAGTTTTTAAAAATTGTATTGCTCAGATTTGACTGGCTTTCTCCAAAGTAAACCTGAAATGAAGGAGTCATCACATATCCATTGATACCTGGGTTGGAAAAGAAATTTAAAGATAAATAAGAGAAGATCCCCTGCCTTTACAGTCCTCCATTCTACCAGCTGAGCTATCGAAGGAGAGCCAGATCCCCTGCCTTTAAGGAGCATTCGTTTTGAACGATGGAGTTATTAAAATAAGTTATTGAGGTGCCTTTAAGGATGTAATTATGAATGTAAATATTCTTAGATTTAATTTTTTTATTTTATTTTATAGCCATAGCTGTTGCATTTGAAAAGATAGCAAGCAGCATTCAATACTGCATACTGCACCTAAGCAGAGTAGGTCTATGGCTAGTATTTATTCTTCCTGTTCTGAGAACCAGCAGGCGTTAAAACGTAAGAGAAGTCCAGGAAGGTGTCACCAGGGCAAGGGACTTTGAACTAAAACTCATGTGACTGAATTGCTGTAAGAACTGTTTATGTTATATATAATGAATATTTGCTTTTTTTTCCTCTCCCAGATTTGGTATTAGAGGAAAGAAGTTACATTTTTCAACTTCTTATGTTCCTAAAGCATCTTCCATTGCCAAATCCCCTAGCTTGTGTTCTATGGAAAAAGAAGAGGAAGACTGTGTAATCTCTGAAGGAATAATAGAGGAATATCTGGCATTCGACCAAACAGATATGTGAGTAGTATGTCTTTTAAGCTTTTTACTCTTTGCCTATTTTATGTATTAATATCTATTTTTTCTAAAGTATACTACCAATATTACCTATAATTAGATTTATATTACTTTCCGTTACTATTTTCTGTTACTTCTCAGGTATCCAGAGTTCATGTGCTTAGTTGATATAAATTCCTATTGCTTTCACATACCAGACTTCCTTATGTAAATTTCTTCCTGCACGTCATCTGCCTCTTCCTGAGATTAACCATTTTTAAATGAGTTAAATTTTTTCTGCACATAATTTGATTTGCCTTTTGTAAATTATCACCAGGAACTCCTGGAAACACTGAAACTTTTAATAAAAGCAGAAGTGTGAACTTCATTTACATAAATCCTGTTTGAAAAGGTATATACAGTTTATATAAAAACCTTATACTCAGCACAGACTTTATATTTAATACTTCTTTATATCTATTCTTACTGTATTCTGACAATAATCCTGTGACATAAATATTATTTGCCCCCTTTACAGGATAGGTGAGAATCAGATAGTTAAATGATTTGTCTGAGGTAAAGCTAAAACAAAAACCTCATCTGATTCTAAATCCAGCTCTCTTCACTATTCTGTGCTACCTTTCTGAAACACTAACCTCCTAAACTATTCCTTTAAGCCTTTAAAAGGTCCAGAATTGATTGTCACAGCAGCACATCTGGAAGTGAGTGAGAATTTCATTTTACGATATGAGAGTATAATTAGGTTTAGTTAGTATTGTGTCAAATGATTCCAGACTTCTCTTCTTCCCAACATATTTCCTGCAGAGCCATGCTTACTCATGTGCTCCATATGTACATCCTCGGGTCACCTAAACATAACCCAGATTTCTATACATAACACCACTAAGCTAGCTCTCTGTTACAAGGGAATCATAATTAGGTTCTTGTAGTTTTTCAGAGACTGCCCCCATTCCCTTTACTTCATCTGGCCTAGGTCAAATTATTTCTATTTTCTCTTCCTTTTTCCTCGAATAAGTCTTCTTCCTTGGTTTTAGCTTATAAAAATGAAGCTGATTTAACTAATTTAAAATGTGATGTAAACGGCTTATAGGTGTCATCTTAGGGCATCTCTTTCCTTTTTCCTCATAGTAACCCCAAATAAATGTTCAGGTAATACAGGGAAGATTTTTAGAAAAGCAGCATTTGTTTTAGAGATACCAATGAGATATTGACTGAAAAATAACAGAGTAGTTGAACCTTTAGAATGTTCCTAATTTAAAATATTGAAGACCCAGAAATAAATCAAAATATATACAATATTTTCAGCAAATGATTTTGGTACAACATGGAAAAACCAGCAAAGAACATGAATAGTTCACATAAAAAGAAAATGAATTTTACATATATGAATTTTATCTGTCAGACTGGCAGAGAACAAAAGATAAAGTAGTTTGATAACTCCTTAAATGGGAAAACAGGCATATTCTTTCACTAGAGAATTATACTACCTCTTTAGAGGAAAGTGGGCAATGTCTCTCAAATTGAAATGCATATACCCTTGACTTAATAATTCTATTTATAGGAATTTATCTTACAGATAATACCCGTGTAGCTAAAGAACTACATACAAGGATATTAATTACAGTACTGACAAGAAGAGCAAAAGATTGATCGATAACTGGCTAGTTAGATATACTACAGTATATCCAATAGAAAACATCTATTTTTTAAAAGAAGCAAATTCGTATGTATTGATAGGGATCCAGGGCCTAGGTACATTTGTAAATAAAAGAGTAAGGTGCAGTACAGTGTATAATGTACCTATTTCTCTGGACTTATATATAATGTTTACTTCTAGGAATGGGCACTAGGGGACAGAGACGTAGGAGACTTATTTTTCACTACATACACACATTTCATTCTGTATAATTTGAATTTTTTCATCATATTAATGTGTTATCTCCTCTAAAAAGAAAAAGAAAAACACAATTACTACTAATCAATCATCCTCCCCACATAATGCCAGGCCAGCTCTTCCTTGGGAAGGGAGCAGCAAAGAGTCTTTTTGGCTGCCCTGCATAAAACTCTTAGCATCCTTCTTTCCTGCCTAGTTTCCTATTTAGTTCTTGAGACCTCTGCTGCCCTAGAGGTAACTGTCATGGTAGAGGCTGGGAGATATTTCTCCCTATTGCAAGCCAATGCCAATATTTATTTTGTCTTAGTTTATAATACATCCATCATATGCAAACACGTCTATTAGCTAGTTTTTCTCCCTCGGAATTCTGGGGCTATTGGCACTCCCTGCCAGAAGAAAGATGGACTTTGCTAACTAGGAGTTTGTGGGCTACAGATACATGGTCTCCAGAGGAGCCTCAGAGTAGCTTCCTGTGCTGTTGGGTACCCCTCCTTTTCCTTTCTAGCCAATCACTAGTAAAAGTTTGGATTAGTAAAAGTATTTTAATAATCTATGTGGACTGTTTCCCTAGTGAACCATTACCTTAAATTATGATGTAGCACAATCAGTTACATCCACTGTAATTGCTTATTACATCCACTGTAATTGCTTATTACATCAGTTACATCATTAAACGTGTCACATTAATATTAACCTAAATATTATTCAGATATAACAAAAAATGTTGCTTCATGCTGGATTGTCATAGCTGTTGCTCAGATGACAATGTTCATCTGAGTAAGGTAGAAAATTACAGCGATTATCTGTCTTCTTTTCCTTGTTCTATTTTTTGGCATATCCTTTGGGAGGGTATTGGGGTGGGGTGAGGTTACAAAGGGAAATGCAGAGTCTCCTCTGTTGAAATCTCCCTTAGTTCACAAGGCCGCTTAATACATGTGCTACATATACTGGGCAGGGAGATTGGGGGTGGAGCACAAATCACACTCCTAAGAAGCACAAAGGACAGTGGTGAACATTCAGTGAAGAATAACCATGAGAAAACAGATTCTCAAATATAGTGGACAATTTGGTGATGGATAGAGGGGAGGGGGTTGAGAGGTTGGGAGAATGGGGTGAAGGGTTAAAGAAGTACAAATTAGTAGTTGATAATTGGTCACGGGGATGGGGAACATGGCATAGGGAATGCAATTAGCATTAATATGATGGCTAAGTAGAGGGCCAGGGGAGAGAGGGAGCAATTGGGGGGATCGTTTTATGAACAATATAGCTGTCTAACCAAAATACTGTATACTTGAAAATAATTTAAAAAAAAAAAAAGAATAACTACGAGGTCTTTCCATCTTCCTCTGTTACAGGGAAGAGGAGTTTCATGGAAAGAAATCAGGAGCAACTACAGAGAAACAGAAATTAGGGTACCCTCCCATTGTTCCATTTTACTGCATGAAAGAGGATGTCCTTGCTTATGTGTTTGATGATGTGTGGAGCAAGGTCCTGAGCTGTATGGAGCATCTGACACGTAGTCACTGGGAAGGATTTGCTTCTGGTAAGGATCTTTGTGAAAACAATGTAAAAAAATAATTTAGGATTTCCAAACCCTACCCAGTCTATTAGATTACATGCTTCATTAGTACAAAAGACTCATATTTATATTTCCCACAGAAACTAAGAGATATTTAGAAAATATTTGAGATTGAGTGAATGAGTAACAAGACCTAGTCTATAATGACTAGACAGAGATTGTGCTGCTTCTTTGAATACAATTTTTTGTGAGAAAAAAGCCTGTGCAAGTGGCAAATATATTTTTAAATGTTTATTGAATAATTGATAAACAATAAACCATACATAAAGTATATAGTTTGATAAGGTGACCTATGTATATGCCCATGAAACAGCCAATACAATGAACATATCCATCACCCCCAAAATGACCTTTGTAATTCCTCCCACCTACCCCTGCCTGACCCACCATCCCCAAGTGACAACTAATCTGCTTTCTGTCACTATAGATTACTTTTTTATTTTGTAGTATTTCATACAAATGGAACATATGGTATTTATTCTTTTTATCAGCTTCTTTCACTCAGCATGATCATTTTGAGATTTATCCATGTTCTTGTGTATATCAATAATTGATTCCTTTTGATTGCTGAGTAGTATTCCATTGTTCCATAATTTATCCATTTATCTGTTGATGGACATTTGGATTGTTTTCAGTTTTGAACTATTACATGTAAAGATGTTATGAACACTAGTGTACAAGAATTTTTTGGACATACATTTCCTTTTCTCCTGGGTAAATTTCTAGGAGAAGAATGTCTGGATTATATGGTTGAATGTATATTTAACTTTTAAAGAATTGTTTGTATTAGTTTTCTATGTGCTACAAAAATTATCACAAACTCAGCAACTTCAAACAACACACATTTATTATTTCAAAGATCTGTGGGTCAGAAGTCCAGGAACTGCTTAGCTAGTCAAAAGGCTGCAGTCAAGGTGTTGGTTAGGGCTGGGTTCTCATGTAGAAGCTCAACTAGGAAAGGATCCACTTCTCTTTCTGTGTTCCTGGAAGCATCCAGTTTTTTGTAGCTGTAATAGTCATGTCAGCTTTCTTTTTCAAAACCAGCAAGAAAAACTGAGTCTGCTAGCAAGACAGAAGCTTATATAACATAACATAATCATGGCAGTGACATCCAATCAATTTTACCATCACCTCTTGGTCTGAAAATATTCACAGGTCCTGCCCACAAAGGGGGGGATTACACAAAGGTGTGAAGGTAAGAATCACAGGAGAGCCACCTTAGCTTGTCCACTACAGTCCTCCCCTGAACCCCAATCATTCTTGTACTCCCACATGCAAAATACATTCAACTCCCAAGGTTTCCAGGAGACTATCCTATTATCGCCATTACCTCAGAAGTCCAAAATCTTATCTAAATCAGGTCCTTGTATGAATGAAGTTATTGGATGTAATACAGTAAGTAAAGTTACTGGGGCACAATTCTTTTCCATCTATAAACTTGTGAAACTAAAGGTTATATACACAGGTATGTAAACATCTAACTATATAATCCAGCCATTCCACTCCTAGAGACAAATTATGTGACCCCACACCCAACATACAACAGTGGGCCAGGGAAAAGATAACAGTCATAGACATTCCAGTTAAAAAGATGGGGGTGGGGAGATGGAAGGTAAAAAGGGTCCATGTCAATTCTGAAATCCTGCCAGGAAAATACTGGGAATTCCTTCATTAAGTTTCCAGGCCTGGAAATAATCCTCTCAGCTATCTGCTCCACCCTCTGGTTTCACCCTTTGAGTCAGCCTTCCTTTTTCACAAAAGTTAGAACATGTTTGCAGCTAAGTGGTTTTATCAGGCTGCTTCCTGCCAGTATAATTTAGGGAAGGGGAGTCTGATAGCCTTTTTTCATGTAAATCTTTTGCCATCTAGAGAGACTGAAAATTTCCAAAATCATCAAATTCTGGTTTCTTTATGTTTAATAGTTTTCCTTAAATTTATCTTTCTCATCTCATGTTTTATCATAAGCAGCAAGAAAAAAATCAGGCCTCATCTTCAACACTTGATTGGAAATCTCCTTAGCTATATCACCAGGATCATCACTAGAAAGTTCTAGTGATGACCACAGGAGACCATTTCACTAACCTTTCTGCCACCAAATAACAAGCGTCTCCCTTCTTCTACTTTCTAATAAAAGGTTCCTCATTTCCTTCTGAGCCTTCCCCTACACAGTCCTCCAAATCTAGATTTCTACTAAGTCTGTTCAAGGCAATTTATGCTTTCTTTATCTTGCTTCTCAAAATTCTTCCAGCCTCTATCAATGAACAATTGAAAATGAAATTAAGAAAATAATTCACTTATAACATCAAAAAGAATAAAATACTTAGGAATAAACTTAATCAAGGAAGTGCAAGACTTGAACACTGAAAACTACAAAACATTATTAAAAGAAATTAGAGAAGACCTAAAAGAATGGAGACATCTGTGTTGTAGATTGAAAGACTTAATATTGTTAAGATGGCAATATTCCCCAAACAGATCTACGCGTTTAGTGCAATCCTTATGAAAATTCCAACTGCCTTTTTTGCAGAAATGGACAAGCTGATCATGAAATTCATATGGAAATGCAATGTACCCTGAATATCCAAAACAATTTGAAAAAGAACAGAGTTGGAGGATTCATACTTCCTGATTTTAAAACTTAATACAGTGCTACAGTAAACAAAACAGTGTGGTGCTAGCATAGGACAAACATGTAGATCAATGTAATACAATCAAAAGTTCAGAAATAAATCCACACATCTATTACCAATTGATTTTCAACAAAGGTGCCAAGACCATTCAATAAATGGTGCAGGAATAACTAGATAGTAACATGCAAAAGAATGAAGTTGGAACCTTACTTGACACCATCTACAAAATAGCAACTCAAAATAGAAAAAAGACACACATTTAAGAACTAAAACTATAAAACTCTTAAAAAATTGGAATATATCTTCATTAGCTTGTGTCTTGATGTAATTTTCTTCATGTTACTTCTACTTGGAGTTTGTGAAGCTATTTGGGTCTGAGGGTTTATTGTTTTGTTTGACAGTGGACTCAGATATGACACCAAATCTACTAACTACAAAAGAAAAAATAGATAAAGTGGACTTTATCAAAATAACAAACTTTGGAAGGTAGCTTGGAGAAACATGGCAGAGTGAGAGATGTCCCCTTGAAACAACAATAAGCTGAACACCTAAAACTCAACAAATCTGAGCATGGGATCTGCACATAAGAGCTACCACAGGTCAGAACCCCGGGTGTCGGGCAGTGGACTGGGAGAAATAAAGACATTGCCTCTCAGAGCCGCTGGAGTTCCCTGTAGGAGGAGGGAGAAGGGAGAAGGTGCAGCGACTTCCCTGAGCAACCCTGCCTGGGAGAGTTGTGAGCTCCACACGGCGGACGGGAGGGCCCAGTCATCAGGGCAGAAAGCAGAGAAGCCAGACGATAGAGAAACAACATTTGATTTTTACTAGCCACGGTTGTAAAACCGAGGCTGAGCTGCAGCTCCCATCCCTCAACTCAGAGGGCCCATCCCCCCATAACCTCCGAGACCGAACACTGACAGGGACTGAGACTGAGGGTAACAAGCATGATTAAATATCTACAAGAAAATAAAAAGGCATTAATAAGGCTTTATATAAAGCAGAGATCCAAGAGGCTTAGACGCCACCTACTGGAAACCAAAAGAAAAGCTCCTAGTTGCAAAAGGCTAATGAGAGGCCATTATATAATAAATCTTTCTGGAAAAAAAAAGCAGAATATACTTCCATTAATGCCCAGGCAGAGAAATAAATAGTCCATTAAACACCATGAACAACCAAGGTGACAAGGCATGTCAGAAAGAAAGAGAAAAATCTCCAGAAAATAAGCTTACAGACATAGAAATATGCGACTTAAATGACAGAGAATTCAGGATGATACTTCTGAAAAAACTCAGTGAAATCCAAAATGAGTCATATCAAGAATTTCAGGAATTGAAAAAACAACTAGATGAGCAGAATGAGTTCTTTAGCAAGGAGACTGAACCTTCAAAAAGAACAGAAAAGAACTTCTGGAGATTAAAAAAAAAAAACACTGCAAGAGTTGAAAAATGAAATAGGAAGCTTGGGAAATAGAGTGGGTCAAATGGAGAAATGGATCAGTGATATCGAAGACACATCTAGAAATAAATCAGAAGGAAGAAGAGAGAAACCAAAGAATGAAAAATAATGAAAGAAATACAAGAACTAGCTGAATACAAGAATTATTTTTATATTTCAGGAGAGGAAATATAAAAATAATGGGAGTTCTCAAAAGAGAGAAAAAGGAGCAGGGATTAGAAAGCATTTTCAGACAAATAATTGACAAGAATTTCCCAAATCTAAGGAATGAGCTGGAGCTTCGAATACGAGAAGTCAATAGAATACCCAATTGGGCCTTCACCAAGGCACATTGTATTAAAATTATCAAATATCAATGACAAAGAGAGATCTCAGGGCAGCCAGGGAAAAGAAGATGGTAACCTGTAAAGGAAAACCCATTAGATTATCGTCGGACTTCTCAGCACAAACCTTATAAACCTTTTAAGAAAGGAGTGGAATCAAATATTCAAACTGTTAAGTGAAAGGAACTACCCGCCGTGAGTAATTTATCAAGCTAAGCTCTCCTTTAGATATGAAGGTAAACTAAAGACCTTTACAGACATAAAAATTGAGAGAATTCTCCACTACGAGGCCTGCACTACAGGAAATACTGAAAGGGGTCAGCTTACCTATAACAAAATGACAAAAAAAAAAAAAATACATAATTAGGAGTAAGGTGACTATCAGGCAAATAGAAGCAAAGGATGCAACCCATACTAAGAACAGGGCATTATAAGCTTAAACAATAAGAAGAGATTTGCTATAGCAAGATAGTAATGAACATTTAGCACACATAAGGACAAACTGAGACAACAATGACTGAAAAGGGGAGGATTCAAAGATCCAAATTCACAAAGG